GTGTAGAGCGTGGATGCGGGCGGGTCTGGCAGCGGTGAGCGTGAGTTGGGGAGGAGGTGCGGCGCGCAGCGTGTGTGGAGCCGTGAACAGGGCCAACTGATCGGAAGCCGATTAATCGATTATTGAAAAAGTTGACAACTTTTTCAATAATCGATTATGTCGATTAGTTGTTGCAGCCCTAATAGAAAGGTGATTTGTGCTTTGTATGCGTTTCTTGCTGCTCCTCTGGCTCAGTGTGTTATGGGTAACCGTTACCACAGCCATCCCCGGGAATAATCGCCGTCTCCCTCCGCAGTGCTCCATCGACCTGGAGAAGAATGTGCTGGTGATCGGCACTACCGGCACCCGTACCACCTTCCTGCCCGAGGCCGAGCTCCCCGAGTGTGCCAGATTAGCCTACGGACCTGGCAGGGAGGACATGCAGCCAGAGGAGATGGCAGACCGCGAGTTGGCTGAAGCGATGCAGAAGTCCGCCGAGGAAGCAGGTACACTTTATATGCACGGTCCGGTCTTACACGCATGTACGTCCTGTGTGCATGCATCCGAGGTGTGATTTTTAACCCATTCATTGGCCTGCTTCACTGTGTGCTCCATCCCGTCCGACCTCCTCTATGTACCCCGAAGCACAACGTCTGGAATCAAGTCTTTGTTGTGCTGCAGCAACAGAATTGGGGTAAAGGCCGTGACACACTGCACGCGAAGCCGTGCAGAGCGAAGCAAAGCTATCCGGCACGGAGCTTTGCGTGCAATCAGATGATTGACAGCACCTTCAGCCAATCGGCTCGTCCGTAACAACCTGCCAGCTGTCGCATCGCGCTGGTATATACGCACGAGCCGATTGGCTGAAGTTGAAATTGTTCATCTCGGCACGCTCAGCTCCGCGAGCTCTCGCAAGCTGAGGTGCCGAGCAGAAAATTACATGACACACTGCTAGCGCGCTGCGTCGCGTGCAGTGTGTCACGTCCTTCAATGTGGAACTGCTGGCCAAAAGGAAATTGACCTCTTTACACCCTCAGAAGCTCTGAATTCCCCGTTACAAGTCCCAAAAGTACCCGGGAATGCTAAAATAATTTGCGCACCATGCTGCCCGCCTGACGGCTGGAGCCACCTTGGCTGAATTCCGGCATTCTGCTTCCTCATTGCTAGGCAACTGCCACCAACTGAACCCTCGTACGAGGATCCAAGCCGTGTTTTAGAAGTGTAGCCGCCATGATGCATGACCGGGGCTTGAAAAATCCGGTCGTCTTGTTTTTTTTACCCCATACTCAGTGGCGTTGCAAGGTGGGTGCAGATGGGTGACACCAAAATTTGTCATTTTGGTGTGTGGTCCCCCCCCCCCCCCCCCCCCACATACACATGCAGATATGCGTCGGGTGCGCCTACGTGCGAAAATGATTGTGCTGCATATGTTACATATAACCGCGAACGTCGGAGTGCGAGCAATCATTTTAAGGCCATTAATTAAAGATAACGCTAAACTGATGAGCGGTAAAAGCGTTTTAAGCGTCGCCTATGGGCAATTTTCAGTGTGGTTTTTTTTTTGCGGGCGCGCGCAATTTGAAGGCTTGACATGTTTGGTGTCTATTTACTCGACGTGACCCCGTCTTTTATATTTTACCAAAAATATGGGTATTAATGTTTTATAACATAACGGAGGGAGAACAGTTTTTTTGTATTTGAAATTTACGGTACTTTTTTTCATTATATAGTAACAAGTA